GTCCAGTATAGCTTTACATCTAGTTCCCTCCTCTACCTTTTGGATGACAAGTTGTTAACTAGGTTGGTTAGGAATTTGTTTGATCTCCCACTAATTGCAGAGTTTATCTTCCAGTTGATATCTGGATAGTTGAAGTCGCCCATTACTAGTGTGGTATGCTTCCTACATACTTTTTTAAACTGGTTGGCAAAGAGTTCGTCTATTTTTTCTGATTGGCTGGGTGGCCTGTAATGTACACCTATGGCAATGTCACTTTTTTCCCTTTTATACATACATACATATGCACACACAGAGACACACCCACTCATATCTATATATCTGTATCTACATCTATATACACACACTTCAAGTGATTTTTATTCTATGCCTCTCTTTATATAACCAAGGATTGTATTAGCTTTCTTGGCTGCCACTGCTCTCTGCTGACTCATATTTAAGTGACCGTCCACCAGGACTCCTAGGTCCCTTTCACAGTTATTGTTTTTTGAGCCAGGTTTCACCTAATCTTACTTGTACCTTTGGTTTTTCCTGCCTAAATGTAAAACATTGCTTTTCTCCACATTAAATGTCATATTGTTGGATTGGGCCCATTATTCAAACCTGTCAAGATCTTTTTGGATCCTGAACTTGTCTTCTGGGATGTTGGCTATTCCTGCCAGCTTAGTGTCATCTGCAAATTTGATGAGTTCCCCTTGTATTCCCTCATCTAAGTCATTTATGAAGATATTGAAGAGTACTGGGTCTAAGACAGAACTTTGTGGTACCCCACTGCTTACTTCCCTCCATGTAGATGTAGTACCATTAAGGAGGACTCATTGAGTACAGTTTGTCAGCTAGTTACAAATTCATCTAGTGGTGATTCTGTCTATCCCACATTTTTCTGGCTTACCAAGAAGTAAGTTGTGATCTACTTTGTTGAATGCCTTGCTAAAGTCTAAGTGTACTATGTCCACAGCATTTCACTGGTCAACTAGGATCTTGACAGACTTGAACATTGGGTGCTATCTAACAAAATGAAATTCAGTGATGAAAAAAGTAAGATTCTACATTTAGGCACGAAAAACCAAATGCACAGGTACAGTATAGGTGGTACGTCACTCAATAGTAGTAACTGTGAGAGGGATCTTGGAGTCCTAGTGGATAATCACTTAAATATGAGCCAGTGGTGCAGCTGCCAAAAAAGCCAACATAGTGCTAGGCTGCATTAACAGAGGGATAGAATCAAGATCACGTGAAGTGTTAATGCCTTGGTAAGGCCAAACCTGGAATACTGCATCCAGTTTTGGTCACCACAAGGTAAAAAATATGTTGAGACTCTAGAAAGAGTGCAGAGAAGAGCAACAAAGATGATCAGGGGACTAAAGGCTAAAACATATAAAAAAACAGTTGCTGGAATTGGGTATGTATAGTTTAATGAAAAGAAGGACAAGGGGTGACATGATAGCAGTGTTCCAATATCTCAGGAGTTACCACAAAGAAGAGGGAGTCAAGCTATTCTCCAAAGCACCTGAAGGCAGGACAAGAACCAATGGGTGGAAACTAATCAAGGAGAGAAGCAACCTAGAATCAAGAAGAAATTTCCTGACAGTTAGAACAATTAATCAGTGGAACAACTTGCCTCCAGAAGTTGTGAATGCTCCAACACTGGAAGTTTTTAAGAAGAGATTTGTCTGAAATGGTATAGGGTTTGCTGCCTAAGCAGAGGGTTGGACTAGAAGACCTCCAAAGTCCATTCTATTCTATTCTATTCTATTCTATTCTATTCTATTCTATTCTATTCTATTCTATTCTATTCTATTCATCACTTTGTCAAAGAATGAAATAAGATTGGTAAATTTGGTAAATAAAAATTGGTAAATAAGAAGCATATCACCATTCAGAATCCAATTTTTAGAGCCACATCCTATCAGTGTCAATGCTGCATAGTAGTATCTCTTTTCAGAAATCAGAAATATTTTTTGCAGTCTTTGATGGCCACTGTGGATATTTTCCTACTCATGTGATCTTTGGATAGATGAAGATTTTTTAACCATTCTAGTTTAATCTAATCAAACTCCATTATCTGGATTGAACTACTCTTGACAAGTATACCAAGCAATTGTCTCTGGAGACTCTCAGTCATCAAGGACATAGTTGTCTAAAAACTGCTTTTTCAAAAGGCAGCTGGACTGTTTTTGGTCTTCTACCTCAAGAAAAAAAAACAGGCCAGTTGCCTTTTTTAAAAACACTTTTTAGATATACCAAGCAACAATTGTGCAAGTCAATTCAAAATATAGGTGGGGCTGACCTCTTTTATCACAGGCACATCAAACAGGATGAGGTCAACCTGCTCAATGTGCATCCAGCAAAAGGTTACTGGTCATTCAGATGGCAGATTTAAACTTTCTATTTCTTAAACATTTTTCTTGGGTATCCTGCAGTGAAGCACAGAAGGCAAGCCACAGCATCAGACAACATCTGACTTAATGCCAGAACTAGACAGGAATTACTAATCTAAATAGTCCTGAAACATCCTTAGGATACCCAGGTGTAGAAAACACTTTTAGATTTCTAAGGGAAAAAATTATATTAGAAGGAGACAAATAATGTCTAAATAGTTGAGTTAGGTAGCACTTCCTATTACCCCAAGACCCAAGGCTGTGATTATTGAAGAAAATATGTATGTCTGAAGTGATTAAACTGTCCTCTATCAAACTTAAATTTTAGTTGCCTATATATCTGATTTTGTTCCCCCTGCAGATGGGATTTCTCTTTCTGACCTACATATGGCTTAGATTACAACTCACAGACTGACTATTTCCTCACTAGCAATTTCTAACATAATCTAGCCCTCATTATGGAAATATAAAGCCTCTCACTAATCTTACATAGCCACTGACTGAGTTGTAATTTACAGAACTGACAGGCACCAGTTTGAGAATCAGAAATTTTTTCACCCACATGTAATTTCCACTGAAGTCAGCAGGGATCCTTTCCCAGTCCATCTGGATAGGACAGCACTCTTCCTATGCATTTGGACCAAGTAGCAATTTTGCCTATTTCCTCTTCGTTTCCCCCAGTCATTTTGAAGCATCTTCTACATTGCATAAAAAAATGCTTTTAAAATTCTACTCATATTTGCCAAACCAATTTATCATAAGATACAAGGAACTGCTGGTCTCAAACTATAAATGCAAGCCCCCTTTCCTTTTAGACTCAAAAAACAAATGACTGATACATTTCAATCCTGGCAGCATTCCATTCTTCCTGCTAAAGAAGTTTCCCTAATTTCAAAAAGTGAATTTCCTTCTCCAATCAAAAAGCCTCCAGACTACAGTTCCCATAACTCTGAATCAATATGAGGATTTGTAGACTTAATCCATCGGAAAGTTATTAGACTGGAAAAGAAAGTCCCGCTTTAATAGAAGCTGGCAAAATCAAAGGCATCACATTGGTAAGCATAAAACATACACATTCAAGACAAAAATACACAGAAGACAATAGAAAAGCCCAACTGAATTTAAGGAATCAATTCTCTATGGTGTTTTGATAAGATTAGCTGTATCTATCCTGCCCATCCTTAAATGGATGAAAAGGAAAATCCAGGTCTCTCAAATAATATTGAAATAAGCAGGTTATACACAGTTTCTGTGGTGGATAACTGGATATGTATATGGAAATTGGTCGAATAGTTGCTTTTGTAAATAAGTCACATGGCTAAACTAAACACTCAAAGAAAGAAACACATTTTTTCAGGGAACAAGCTTGGACTAAGTCTTCTTACAATGTCAGCTAAGTAATTCCCAGGAAGATCTTTTCATGGCCTCCTCCTACATTTTCACAGATACCAATCTCTGGTGAAAAAGAAATGCTTGAACCAACCTCTCAGGGCTTAAAGTGATACTACAATCTGTTAGTCCCTCTTTGTCATTACTCTAAGTTGTATCTCTTCTATCCACAAATCTGGCCATGGTTCAATTCTGAGTTAGCCACCAAAACTGTGAATTCCAGATGCTGGGCACCGAGAGTAGCAGAGTAGAAACATCTGGGAGGAAACCAGTAACTGAGATACATAAGAAACTCTTTCAAGATCTCTACATCCATGGAAAGCATGGATGTTACTAAAAAGGGCAAGTGGGGGTGCTATACACTTTCTGCTACTATAAATTGCAAAAGATGGGGGTTTTGAAAGTGAATATGGCTGCCAAGAATAAATCAGATGCAGGTGCAAGATCTCAAGCCTTGGGCTGTTTACATATTTCCTCCCTGCTGTCACTACTGAAGGACGAGAGCACACAGGTGTGTTTTTCACCAAGAAGCAACAGCTGCACTTGTTCTACTTTGACAGAATGTCAAGCAATTGCTGCCCACAAAGTGGCACAATCCAGACAACCCACTCCCACCTTCTCCCAGCTCCCAGTGGACAAGATCCACAAGATGGGTGGTGTGTGTGTGTATTTGTGTGTGTGTGTATATATGAGAGAGAGAGCGAGAAAGAGAGAGAGAGAGAGAGAGAGAGAAGAGAGAGAGAGAGAGAGAGAGGGAGGGAGGGAGAAAGGAAGGAAGGAAGGAAGGAAGGAAGGAAGGAAGGAAGCAGAAGCTGAGAGGAAGAGAAACGTGGCATGTGAATTGGCATCAAATCTGCCTGGTATTTGGGAGTCATTTGCTGTGGTTAGCTCACCAAGGGGTATGAGTTGGAAGAGGAAAAGTTCCTCCTGGTGTTAAATATATAGAATTCAGTTCAATGGTGTCCCTGGCTTTCCAGGCAATGGAGGAGCAGGTACTATGACTGTGAGGAGTTCTGGAGGAAAAAACTAGCAGGATCTCTATCTTCTTTTTCCCCTCTTCAAATTCATCAGTGGGAACAAGAAGAGAAAGGTTCTGCCACATCTCAACAAAGGGTTGGGGGAAAATGCAGAGATCATAATTACTTTCGGTTCTATTTTCAAAGGCGTTGAAAGCACATCCCCCCCAGTTAAGAAACAGAGGCAGACAGCAAGGACCGCAGGCATGAACCATACCCCCAAATCCAGGACGCAGCCTGTTGTCATAGCCATCCAGGAGACGGTCCAGGATGCGTGTAAAATTCTCCGGCCATAATTTTTCTTCCTTTCTGAGCTGTCCCGGGAGCGCGGTGAGACTGTAAGTCGAAGGAAAGAAAGCATGAAGCCTGGGGCATAAGAAATCAGGAAAGGAAACGAGATAAGACCGCCACTATCGGGAGAAGGGGGACGCATCCTTGCCTCCCTGGTTCGCGCCCACTCCGAATTCTCTGCCACCCCACCCACCCCCTCCCCGATTCTGGGCATCAGGTACAGGTGCAAGGAAACTGGAGAGCGGCGGCGGCGGCAGCAGGAGGCGGAGAAGCGAAGCGAGAAATAGAGCGCTTACCAAGTCGCCCAGCACAGGAAGTGTACGAAGATGATCGACAGACCCGAAAACATAGCGATCGTTGGCTCCTTGGCAGAAACCATCTTCGCTTGCCATACTTTAAGCCTGGTTGCGCGTTTCCACGTCGCTAAACGCCTCTTCCAGAGAGGAGATCACCCGGCCGCTAAAGAAGAAAAGGGGGGGGGGCGGAGAAGGAAAGACCGAGCGGGGCGGGGGAAGGAGAGGAGGGGCGGACGATCCCGGCACCGGTACGCACGATCTTTCAGCCGGGAGACCGCCTAGACAACGATCTGGTACACGCAGAAAGGCAAAAGCCCGGAGGAGGAAGACGAGGAGAAAGACGAGGAAAAAGTAGGGCCCGCTCCTCAAGCTAAGCCTCCACACAGCCCAAAGCTACATCTTGTCGGCGTCCCCGGAGCCGAGGCAGGTTAGCGCCCGAGCGCGCACACCAATTCCTCCCCTGCGAGTTCTTTCCCTTCATTCTTTGGGGGATCCCAGGCTTTCAAATCCCACCTCTTCCTGGGGCTCCTCCTTCTCTCCTCCCCATTCCCATTTCTCCGATTCATCTCTCCTACATCTCATTTTTGCTTCGGTTTAATTTTTTTCTCTCTGCTTTAGCAAAATTGGGGATTAAAATCACCTCGTGGAGTGCTCTGGGCGGATCGGCAAAATCAATCTCGACGTAACAACCAGCCATTAATGAATTCCGAACATATGCAGAGTGCCTCGACGATCACCCTTAACGTATTCCCCCCCCCACATGAATAAAGGAAGCCAAGGGGAAAGTCCTGCTCATCAGTCACCTCTTCTTCTGCAGCCAAAAGTACAGTATAAAGCTAATTCATGAAATAAGGAAAAATTATCTATTAAATGTGTCTTATTTCCCCCTTCATAATCAAATAAATTACTAGCACCAAAACAGTCTGGGATTAGGAAGCTTCTTTAAAATTACCAACTATTTTAGGAGAATTCTCAGGGATCTTTTTCTTAACTAGAATTAAACATTACTTTAACCAGGATTAAGATGAAATGTTAATATATATATTGCTAGTCCATGTATGATATGCCATATGCTAAATCAGGGCTTTTCAACCTTTTCACCCATTGTACCACTTTTAGGATATGGCAATATCCGAGTACCACCAGTCGCCTAGCAAGGTGTCAAAAACTTGACAAAAAAAAGAAAAAAGTGATGAAGTACAGGTAGTCCTCAACTTACAACAGTTCGCTTAGTGACTGTTCGAAGTTACAATGGCACTGAAAAAAGTGCCCCCCAAGCCACAGCTGAGCAAGTCACCTGCCTGCCCACCCGGCGGCGCTCTTCCTCCTGTCCAAGGTTTTCATTGTTGTGAGCATTTCTGTTGAGGATTGGCATCAGGGGTGGGGTGGGGGGGTGTTTGGTTTTTATTCCCCCCCCCCGTCTGCTGGGTGGTTGCAGCAGGTTTTGATCACTTCACATGACCCTGGGACACTGTGACCGTCATAAATATGAATCAGTTGCCAAGCATCTAAATGTAAATCACAAGACCCTGGAGATGCTGCAACATTCCAGGTGATCGGCGCTTCTTCTGGGCTCAGCAGAAGCACCAGGATCAGTGCTGTTTTCCAGCTGATTGGTGCTTCTTCAGGGCTCAGCAGAACCACCAGGATCAGTGCCGAGCTACAGCTGGAGCCTGGCACTGATTCTGGCGCTTCCACTGAGCCCTGACAGTCCCGAAGAAACGCCGATCAGCTGGAAAGCGGCACTGATCCTGGCGCTTCCGCTGAGCCCTGACAGCCCTGCAGCTCCAGCCATCTCTCACTCAGGCTTGTGCAGTGCTGCCACCGGTTCAGCTCATTCCCCTCCCCCGCTACCACTTTTCTAGGATGGTCGCGTACCATCTGCAAGGTGCCAATGTACCACAGGTGGTACCCGTACCACTGGTTGAAAAGCCCTGTGCTAAATAATCATGATAGTAGTGTTCCAATACATGATAGCAGTGTTCCAATATTTCAGGGGCTGCCACAAAGAAGAGGGTGTCAAGCTATTTTCCAAGGCGCCTGAAGGCAGGACAAGAAGCAATGGGTGGAAACTAAGCAAGGAGAGAAGCAACCTAGAACTAAGGAGAAACTTCCGGACAGTTAGAACAATTAATCAGTGGAACAACCTGCCTCCAGAAGCGGTGAATGCTCCAACACTGGAGGTTTTTAAGAAGAGACTGGACAGGCATTTGTCTGAAAAGGTATAGGGTTTCCTGCCTGAGCAGGGGGTTGGACTAGATGACCTCCAAGGTCCCTTCCAACTTTACTATTATTATTATTATTATTATTATTATTATTATTATTATTATTATTATTATTATTATTATTATTATTATTATTATTATTATTATTATTACCAGAATTAAGGATAAATTTTGCTTCCAGCACAAAAAGAGCAGAATGATTAACAAATCTCTCTACAGCAGTGGTTCTCAACCTTTTTAATGCCGCGACCCCCCAACCAGTCGTAAGTCGAGGACTAAACCGGTCATAAGTCGAGGAGTAAACCGGTCGTAAGTCGAGGACTAAACCGGTCGTAAGTCGAGGACTACCCAACCGGTCATAAGTCGAGGACTTTCCCTGCCCGGGAGCGCTGCGCATGCGTGGTTCCGCCCCCTGTGCTTGTCGAGGCATAGCTGGCAAGCGGCAGAGACGGAGCAGGCCGACCACCAGCTGGCCCAGCCCAAGGGAGGTAAGGCACCCGCCGGAAAAGGGGAAAAAAATGGCAGACAAAAAAATGGTGGACAGCCTTGCTTGGCGACCCCCATGAAATGGTCGATCGACCCCAAATGGGGTCCCGACCCACAGGTTGAGAACCACTGCTCTACAGCCTGGCTTTACACTGCCCCACTTAATTTGTCTTCTACCTTCCTCTGCTCCAGATGCTACAGACCTCCTTGAATGGCATTATGGGTGATCACATCAGGCCTGCAAAAGTCCCGGTGACCACAGATGGCAGCAAAAACGGAAACATCTAACTTGGCTGCCATGAAGCTTTTTATAATCCAGAATGGAGAGCCTGGGTGACATCTTCTCTTTCATTTCTTGAAAGCCTCTACTGAATTACTATCACCTCTCCTCGCTGGCTGGTTTGCAGATGTTGTCTTTCTTCTTTTTCTGGCTAAGATCAAGTTGATGAACTCTTCATTGGTCCTCAGGGTGGGGGTGGGTGGGAATTGCCTAGAACAGGGGTCCCCAAACCCTGATCTGTGAAATGGCACCAGTCCATGGCATACCAGTGTTGAAAGAAAAGTCTTCATCCTGGTTCATCCAAGCCGGGGATAAATAAACAACATGGCAACTGCTTTAGAAAGAAGGTTGCAGTTTATTGAAGAGCCAGACCTAAAGATGGTTCTGGCAGGAAAGAGGAGAGAAAAACAGGGCAGAGCACATGTGGCAAGTAGGTTTTTATACCCTCTGAAAGCCTTTTGTTTGGAATAGTTTCCTGTTTCTGTTTTAGGCTTTGTATTTCCTATGTCACATATTCTGACCTGAGTCTGGGTGTGCCTTTCTGGTATTCTGATGGGTTAGTCCTATTATCATATCCTGCTTCCCTGGTGATGGCTAATGACTCCTAGAGTTTGGGTGGGGTATGACTCCTAGAGTTTGGGTGGGGTCTTTGTCTTCTTGATCTCCTAGCTGGGGCCTTTCTGATGGTTTACATTTGCATTTGTACAGGGCTGGCTTCTGCTTGGGACAGAGAGACTTGGGGGCAGGGTTGGTTTCTGCTTTTAAAATCCTCTTGAGAAAATATATTTTTCTGCCCTTTTAATATTTCCTTCTCTGGGGAGCTGACTTCCCTCACCAGCAACTGGACCACACAAACAAGTGAAGCCCCATTGTGGGATGCAGGCAGCATGCAAAATCATGCCGCCTCCAGTCTGCAGAAAAATCTCCATTGAACTGGTCCCTGGTGCCCAAAAGGTTGGGGGCCACTGACCTAGAGATAAAAATAAATGACAAATTGGATTACAAGGTGGATTTTTTCCCCTAGAAATCATGGAAAGCTGCAGAGAAAAGGGGAAGTTGCAAATTAACTGCTTTGTTAAAAACTGTCTCTCAACCCATCAGTGTATGCAGTTGGGTTAATTGTCACTGAACACAAAACACAGAAATGTCAAAGTCACAGAGAGAGAACTAATCAGTTACATGTGTGCCCTTACATTGTTGCTCTCTATTATCAAATCAGATTTTGGTGACCCAAATAATTTGTATCACAGTTCCTTCAAGGTATTCAGCAACCACTTTTCAAGAGTATAGAAATATTTCTGTTCAATCAAAGCTTGCTGGATTTCTTCAGGCAGAATTCTATTTGACCCAGCTGGTAGAAAAGGCTCCTCCAATCAGAATGCCAGACTGTTTTATCTGGGCCACTAAAAATACTACATAGAGATTGGATTTTTATTGCACAATCCCACACAAGACCATTCAGAAGTGATACCCACTGATACCCATAGGGCTTACTGTTAAGTAATATGTGTAACAGCATTCTGTATTCTTGGGCCTTTTAAACATACTGGTTTATACCACATCATCTTAAAGTTGCCAAGTTTGAAAAACACTGGTTTACACAATAACCACTGAATTGATGGACTTTTAGGTCCAAGATATCTGGAAATTATAAGAAAATATACCATGAGATTATTAGATTGCCTTCAATTCCATCATATGCTTGAATGCTTCCATAGGCACTGGGGAGCCTATCTCAACCTTTGAACTAGAACACCCCGTGATTCCCTTATATGCAGGGATTCACTTTGGTTCTATCGGGTCTGACGCATTAAAGCCTCCTAGTGAGACTTCCGCCTACCACCACAGTTTTGGGTCAAAAAGGGACCCATGGAGCACTCTGGATCCCTCACAGAGTACTGGGATGCTCCTTTAGAGATCTACCACCACAGTTTCAGACCAAAAATGAGCCTGTTGAGGATGCTTCTGCTCCCCTGCAGAAGGTACGGGACGCTCTTACCGGCTTTATCTTTACTTTTCATCACCACTGTTTGCAGACTTCAAATGTCTGGGACGACCTCTGCTTGCTTTCCAGAGGTAAGGGACGGTCCTA